AAAATAAAGTGTAAACTTAAAATATGTATAAGGTTAGGGTTTTTTTCACATCCCTGTATTTCTAGTATGAGTACTAGCAATAGATGTCTTAGCAAGTATCACTATATTTATAGAGAGTATGCTATATAGTAGGCCTATATAGTAAGGGGCTGTTCACACAGAACATGTTGCGTTCCACTGTGCTGTTAATCCATTGTTTTTTCGTATAAAAGTGCTAAATGGACATGATTCACACGGCATAACATGGCATTCTAAAAACGGTCAAGTTAAAAGAAGTTCAGCTTTTTTTGTAGATTTTTTTCATTTGTCCTGCGTTTGAAATGCAAAAATTTGTTCTGCATAAATGGCCACTAAGATCCAGTGAATACAGTAGGTGTACATTTTGGTGTATTTGCGATCTATTGCAAACATGAGCACAAGAAAGAGTGAAAAAACAGCTCCTAAATTCCAACGTGTCCAATGAGTGCCAAATAAATTAGTTGTCACATTGCATGCCAAGAAAAATGGCTGGGGGGGGACTTCTGGAGAACTCTCTGAAGAAACAAATGTGCATGAAAGGACTTTGTCTGTTTTGAAATCTCCATCGAATCCTGTCAGAGTATCCCAGCATGGAGCCATAAAGATTAAATACAGACCCGGTTCTTCTTTTATAGTCCACTACAGTGTGAATCTCCGTACAGATACATCCTTCAAAATAAGACCATTTGAAAGCAGTGAGCAAAAGGAAAGCATGAGGAGATGATGCTGGCTGCTTATAAGAGAGTGACTTGGCAGAGCTGGATTCACCACAGCCAAGCTGAACAGAATTCAGCACATGCTTCTCTATCATCTAGGTTTCTTTTATGTCTCATTTCTGCTTTCTCATATCCATACATGGCCGCAAATGCTTGCTCTGTGTGTGGAGGAGAGGGAAAGTAAAAGGTAATGATGTTATACTCCCTACATGCTCAGACATCTCATCGTTCGTCATCTGCTATTGTTTTCAGTTACACAAACACATGTATCCTATTGCGCACACTAGTTTCACTCATTCCCTGAGGCTATGAGATTGTAAAATACACTGTTACTCCACTACCCTGACCACCACAGTACAGCAAAGTTGAAATACTGTACAACAGCATGTCACACAAACATACATGCCTGATTAGACCATCATCTGGTCTTAGAGACATTCCATATAAAATCTCTCACTCACACATTTACACTCATCCTCTCCTGATTCTAACCCCACCTCTCCATCCCTAGAGAGAAAGTCTCTATAGCAACTCCTCACCTGTCCTCTTGTTCTATGTCTTCAGATACAAGATGTCAGAAGAGTGTGGTAGTGCAATTTTTCATTTATAATCAGTGTTGGGGAAAGGTACTTTTAAAAATAATGCATTACAATATTGCATTACACCCTAAAAGGATATTTTCTTGTAAATTAAAAAAGTAATGCGTTACTTTACTAGTTACTTGACAAAAGTAATCTGATTACGTAACTCGCGTTACTTGTAATGAGTTACTCCCAACACACTTTGAGATTTCCTGCTTAAAAGCATCCCTCCACAAGATAATGTATAGGCCTACATATTAATAAGCAGGGCTTGACATTAACACCCGCCAACACGCCGATTTCAGCTGTGGCGGGTAACACAGTCACTCCTACTGGCATCTTCGTCGGGTAACAGTAACAGAGCTCGACATTAATGCTTGTCTGGGACAAGTGGATATTTTGAAGGGGCAAGTGAAAGAGAATTTTACTTGCCCGACCGGACAACAAACGTGATTAAAACATCTAATTAGGGAAGCACGGAAATTTCAGCAAGAATGATTCTGATTTTGTTACATTTAGTGCAAATGGCAATTTAGGCTATAGTGGATAATGTACCGACAGTGACAAGGTCGTGCAGTTGAGGCCCACGCAGCCTGTCTGTGTGAACGAATCTCGTGAAGAAATCAAAATAAATGGACTGCACTCAGAAGAAACATACTGCGGTAAAAATGTCGTTTTTATATTTATAATATGATATAGCCAAGCAACATGACTGCAAATTTAACATTGATTTTATGCAAGAGTTCAAACAAGTAGATAATAGGCCCATTAAGTGACTTACATTTTAGACTTAGTCAATGCTTACTGTTTGTACTCGATTGAATGAAAATAGTTCCAAAGATCACAGCATTAATCGCGCATGTCTGAACAACACACGCAGTGCTTCGTTACCAAATGATTCAGTGTATCGAACGAATCAATGATTCAGTAACCCACTTGGTTCATTCTTGAATGAATCGTTTGAATGAATGACTCAATGACTCACTCAGTAAGACAGTCACTTGAACGGTCTTTTGAACTTTCGGTTTACTAGAGAATAGGCCTACTGAAAAACACAGTTTCCACAAAATTCTTAATGAGCACAACTGCTTTGATTATATTAAGAAATGTTTCTTGTGGACTAAATCAACATATTAGAATTATTTCTGAAGGATCATGTGACACTGAAGACTGAAGTAATGGCTGATGAAAATTCAGCTTTGCTAAAAACGTATTTATTATTTATTTTAATTGGTAATAATTCTAAATATAATTTTTCAATTAATCGACCCCAAACCTTTAAACTGTAAGGTAATTTTAATTTTATACTATCAGCATATCAATTTTGAGTGAAAAGCTGAAAATATACATGAATTTTGTCTCCTTTTTGCTTTAATGACTAAAGCTGAGATGGACTCCACAGGTTTTAAAAAATACATTACATAAAATCGTAATGTTAGAAGAAATGTCCAACACATGGTAGTCATTTTGACTACCCATATACATTTTCATCAAAGCAATTTTTTCTTTCTAAGCAACCAACAAGAAAGTGTATGTACTGCATTGTTATCTCAGCAGGTAGTAAATGACAGAAAGAAGTGCGAATAAGATTTAATGCTTTTTGCAGTACAGAGAACATGTTAGGTGCAGTTAGGTATGACAACTCAGGGTTTAGCTGAGCTCTAGATCTCTTACAGAGCCGCAGTTGATTTGTGAGCACCGCTATAATTAAATGTCAGAGGAGAAATTACGCTGCATGTTGGAACAAGATAGTTTCACAGAACTGATCATGACAAATTACCTTAGTGAATCAAAGAGGGTAACATCCAGCTTTGAGAAATTACGGATAATGTATGTCAGACAAAATGGAGTGACAAATTATCCACAGGAGAGCGCAGGCATACTGATGCTATAAGACACACAAAGAACAAAGATGCCCTCTGCTGGTAAAAATAAACTACAGCTATACACACAAAAGTAGGGGAGAGAGAGAGAGAGAGAGAGAGAGAGAGAGAGAGAGAGAGAAAATAAGTAATTTATCAAATTTTAATAAGGTAAATCTGATAGCAGAACTGAACAAAAAATTAATAACAATACACACACTCAGACAGGAATGACAGAGGTACAAGACATCAGTTTATTCCACTTATTACATGAATAAAATTTTTAAAAAGGCAGTCATAAACATGAGAAAATAAACAAATGTGCATATTCAATTACAAAAGACAGACAATTAACAATCAGAAGATTAACAATCAGAATTAACAGGCACATTTTAGTAATAACTTGTGTAGTTCATGTGTTTTTTGGTAAGAGGCATTGTCAGAAAATAATCAGCATATAAATGTGGCAAAAAAACTGTTCTAAAAATATTTGTGTGGGAAAAGTGAAATAAAATGAATGTTCCAAAAATTCCATATAGACACATGACTGAGTGATAATTCAAAAATACAAAAAGAATCATGATTTCATGTTTAGAACTGGATTTTCATGATCATACTCCTCAGCATATACACACACCTCAACATAAATACACATAAATATACATACATGCACAACTAAAGCCACATTTAAGGCATCATATTAACATTCAAATATCTTATGATGGAAATAAAGAATTATTTTCAAGGCAGTAACAAAAGAAACTAAATTGCTTTTTAAAAGAATTTCTAGACATTTCTAAACATCACAGTTGTGAACAACATAAGAGTTTGTTTTCTTCAATGTTATGCACAGATGCAAGAGTAACAACAACGGCCTGAAGAGTTTGAGAACTCACAGGAGTACAGTAAATACCAGTGTATAAAAACTTGCATAATCTACCTTTCATGGATAAAATTGTAGTTTATAAATACAAGCTTTTTGTACGGTTCATGAACTCATGTAAACACTTTGTTCCTCCCACCAAACACTACATCAGGCTGTTAAACGGTGTGCTTGTCTTGCTGTTAGCAGAGACAATATAAATCACACATCCTTAGCCCTCATTCCTCATAGCTGGGTGGACAACGTAATATTAAACACTACAAATTGTGACACTACATGACACAAGCTTGATTTAGCTCTTCACCAAGCAACCAATGAGGCAGAACGAAGAGTAACAGATTATATTTATAGAGCGGACATATTCAGCACACCCTAGGAAATTACTAGGCCTAAGTGTCTTTAATAGTAGACACAGTTGATGGTGAACGGTAACAGAAAAAATATATTTCTAGTTGACTGGCATGCCATAGACATGATTTAAATATTCAATCAAGCTTAAGACAAATTTGAAATAAAAAGTCCAGTGTTTATTTAAAAAAAACTAAAAACATATGCAGACCAGCAGGGGTCACTGTAACTTAGTTGAGGGCCACTGTGTAAAATTCAGTAATTAAGTCATCCAGCTGAGACCCGTTTCCTGGCCTCTTTATAGAAGGGAAAAAAGCAACGACAGAATGGTCAAGACAGCGACAGGCTTAATTTAGGTCTGGAAAACTGGCTGCAAAGTTTCATTCATTTAGTTAAGAAGGTAAATTGTGGGATCCCTGGATTTTAAATGGAAAACGCTTGACCAAAACTCTCGAAAAACAACGTGAGAATCAGATCTGAGAGGGGAGCAAGCACATCGTCTGGTTTTTCCAGCAAAGGAGTTCATGATTTTGTACATTTTAAACATTTCTTTGACGCAATGACCCAGTTTGGCTAATCTGTTAATACAAAGCTTTATGACTTGCAACTGATTGTCTGCTCCTGAAAAAGAATAAATGATCTAGAAGGAAAAGAGCCAGTAATGCATGAAGTCATTACATTACTTAACTAGAGCAGCAAGTATGGATTAGGCTTGTGATGGCTGCATAGAGTGTTCAAACATGTCTGTTCACTTTAGCATAATGCAACATAATTCTCCTATAGAAAAAGAAACCACATTTTATCAAAATGATCAACAGATATTTATGCTCAGGTGTGCTGTGTATCGTCTGTGCCATGTTCAGACCAGGTGAACTACATTTCCCACAATCCACAGCACCGCTGATCTCACACCCACAGAGCACTGTATAACTACTTGTAACATTATCAGCAGAATTTGTTGACACAAAGTCAAGCCGTTGAAATACTATGTGGTAGCGATTTAGAGCTACATTTGAAATATATACATCTAAAGAGCTCATCATCGCTTCTGACCTTTGACATGAAATTAAGTACATAAAGATGCTAAATAAAATCACAGTAGAACAATGGTAAAATGTTAAAGAGCTAGTTCAACCAAAAATGACAATTTTATCTCATGTTGTTCCAAACCGCAGAATACAAAAGACATCCATATAACGAAAATCAATGGGGACCAAGAAAAAAGGGATCCGTGACAGCGTTTTTCTGGTCAAATGAATGAAAGAAAAGACAGAAAGTCAATCATACGGTTTTAAAATGTCATGAGGGGGTATAAATGATGACAGAATTAGCATTTTTGGGTGAACTGTCCCTTTAAAGCAGCCAAACCCTGGATCAGCAGTTCACTGACAGTTCAAAGCTGGGTCATTCAGCCAGGCCCAGATTTTAATCATATGTTGAGGACTTCTGGGATGGACCAGCATCAGGCTGTTATAGGCACAGGCATTATCGCGATATTTCTCCTCGATATCAAAGGTCCTGAAGCCTTTGTTCTTCTCAGGAGCAAGGCCCAGTTTCTTAAGGCACATACCCGTGTAGACATCATCGATGGGGTAGAGGGGCACCAACCTCGAGACGTTATGAAGTTTCTGGACCAGCTGTCCCGAGAACAAATAACCACCCCCACCCGCATAAGCAGGGTACGTTCCAACGAACATGCTTTCCGGGATAAAATACTTGACCTTTTTGTCCCGGTGTGGACCAGCGTTGGTAATCACATCTCCTACAAACAGTTCCTTGGCTTTGGCATGAGAAAGATTGATTAGGAAGTCTATAATGCGGATGGTGTTAACAAAAACATCGTCATCGCCCTTGAAGATGTAACTGACTCCAGGACAGCGGGTGTTCAGCCATTCCAGGAAAAGCACTTCCTTGATGGTGAGGTTGAAGAATGTGTCCCTATAGTCCCATTGAAGAATATCTCCATGTATGGAGCTCTCATGGAGAAGCATCTTCGAGAGATCAGGAAAGTGGTCCTCCGTGGCTGCATTTCCAAGAAGAAACACCGTAATGACCGTTCTGTTTGCAAGGAGGCCAGCTTTGCCCCACGACTCACGGATGGCCTGACGTCGATCAAAGTGCGGGACTAAAGATTTAATAGCTAGGAGGAGGAACGGTGGGTCTTTGCACATGTTTGGCTGATCCATCACGATGGGATAGGACCTGCAGCGCATGTAAAGCAGAAAGTCCTTGAAGCGATCCGGTAGCGAGTTGTAATCCTTGACTTGGGTGGTCACCCTGAAGTCTGGCTCACAGGAGTCCAGACTGACTGTGTCGTTTAGCCAGTCTGGAAGCTTATCAATCGTGAAGTTGAGCTTTTCTAGGTTGCGATTGTTGATGTAGTTCAGCTGTTGCTGCCGGCGATTCCAGTAGGCGTCACTGGGGAGATCTTTTGCCCAGAAACGATTCGTGGGAACCAGCTGCTTATTTTTGTTGCCGTCACCCTTCCCAGCATTGCGAGAGACCTCCACCACTATGAAGATGAACACCATTGTCATCATCACCATGACCTTCACCTTCCTCCGAGGTCCCTGCATGGTGTCGAGACTCACCACCTAAACAGCAGAGACAAAAAATAACATAGATGAGGACATGTGAGGGACTACTGACTAGGGATGGGCGATATGGGCTTTAAAATATATCACGATGTTTCTGGTATTTATTACGATAACGATATCAATGACGATAATTCAGGGAATCATGTTTCTTTTAAGAAAAGTATTATCTTTCCTATTTTTACCCAAAATAGGGTGAGCAAACTGAGCATTAACCTCCTGAGACCCTGCATCCTCATATGAGGACATTATATTTTAGTGAATTTCTCTGAGACTATACATGCCACAGTCTGGATGTCCTATATAGAGCACATTCAGGGCTTTTCGGAGATACTAAATGTTTGGATGTTTCACCATGACCACCCCCTCTCCTTGGTCTTCAAAAATGTCTGATATTAATTTAGTGACACTCTTTTGAAATATGATCATATTTTGTAATTGTCATTTAAATCGGACACATTTTTAAACTGTGTCATAAATCAACATCTTAGGAAAATATTATGGGGTTTCAAATCAAAATATAACTTTGTTACGAAACAGGAGGTTGATTTCATACATGTCCTCATATGAGGACACTGGGACTAAAAGCATGTTTATTACGCATTTTGGGAGACACAACAAATGAATAGGGAAAGAAAATATATTTCAATATTCCTATGAAATATTATGAAAATCTTGTCAATTATTACTCTCAATATTACACTTCTTTTTTTCATTACATGTTGCCCCAAAAACACATTAATATGCAAATTAGATTTAGTTTATAGATACATTATATATAATGAGAAAACCTGTTTGTGGCCATTTTACACACATTTTGCATGAAGAAAAATGGTATATCCAATCAATCTGTTATAACATAGTTGAGAATTATCTTTATACAAAGTTTAGTAAAAAAAAATCCAAAAAACTAAAAATGTATTGGTGATTTAAAAGAAATCTATTGTTTTTGTCTAAGCATGTTCATTCATGTCTTTTTTTTTTTTTTTTTTAGAAATTGAGTCCCAATGTCCTCTACCAAGGACGTAGCATAACTTATGAATGAAATATCGGGGTTTTTTTTTGTTTACATTTTTTTGAATGCTCTAAACAATGTAATGGCATCAAAAAATACAATTGTTTTCCTAAAATGTTTTGCCGGGTCTTAAGAGGTTAATGAGTTCACACGTAATGTAGAGACTGTTTAATTCATACTGGAAGCCTGAGGGCGCCCTTGTACAGAAACTCCACATATCCATAGCAGAAGAAATACTACTGACGATGCTTCAGGAAGGTATCCAGTTATTATCGCTGAATAAAACGCACAACGGAGGTAGAGACATTGTAACTGATGAAACTTGAGGAAAATAAACATACGATTGCACAAAATATATGGTTTATCTGTGTTCTTCAATCTTGGGTATTTTTATAAGGAAAGTATATTTATAATGCAATGTTAATCGACATGGCCTTTATCACTGTATATAATACTATCATTCTGTAATATGAAACCACGTCTGGTCACAAAAATAAGTATTTCAAACACTCGACTATGTCATTAAGTTAATTTGGAGAAAAAGCATGTCAATAAATTATATCTTTGTTGGACAAGTTTTGTAAACAGGCTCATGCACATGCAAAGCTGTATCGCACACGTGCTACTGTAGTAACGTTACATTTATTCAGACCGATTTTTTGTGCACTGTACCAAACCAGTTACAGCTCGAGCTCCTCATTTAGCGATATAGGCTACTCCTCCTCAATTTCACGTCCGCTTTCCGTGATGTCGCTCCGCACTGTCGCACACAGAAACATGCCAACAACTAGACTTTATCTTTATTATCGCAGGAAGACTCATTCTTATCGTGGTGAGAATTTTTACCGGTATATCGCAAACGATAAGATATCGCCCATCCCTACTACAAACTAAAAAAATAACTAGGAAGCCATTGGTTCTTAAACTTTTATGAGCCAATGTGTGACTTTTTAGTTCACAAATTACAGATAGAGCTGAATACAGATGGCTTGGTTCCCATTAAATGCTGTCACTGTAGTGATACTGAGTGTATTTGTGGCATATGCATTTTTTAAATACTTAATTCAGCAAGCATGCATTAATTCTGATGATAATTGATCAAAAGTGACAGTAAAAGACATTTATGGGAGGAAACACTAGCACACTAAAGATGTGATTGACCAACAGCACTTTACAAGATAATATTGGATTATAACTGCACAGCTAGTTTCAATTATTTTTTACTTGCCTTGCCTCTTGGAGGTTTAATATTTTTGTTAATAGGGAAGAAAAAGGAACCATTCCATTATATATACACATCTAAATTTCTCTGAACACATTCAAATGTAGATCATCCAAACAGTTTCCATTTCCTAGGATAGATTCTTCAAACATCTCTCACCGGAACCGTTTAGTTGACAGTTTCAGCTAAAGGTTTCTACTCAACCACATGCCCCAAAAAAATGAATGCCACACAGATAACCATAAAGCAAATCCTGTTTGATGATAAAACGTGCAATGCTTCAGAGTTTGTTTGTGCGTGTGTTGGCAACTAAAGTGTTTGAGAACTGCATGCTAATAGCAAGTGCAAATCGAGAAGACAAACTAGCGGTGGACACAAAGCTATAATTTACTTGAAGAACTTGGCCCCATTTCAAGCCTGGCTGTTTTAAATTTAGAACGGCATGCTAAAATTAAACCACGTGAACCTCTTTACGTTTAACTCTATATGAGAGTTAACCCACAATTGCATAAAGAACACTTTATTTGGGACGACTTGGAATAATTTTGCCATTTAAAATTACAACAATATGAGAAAGGTTTAATTTCGGCCAATTCACACTTATTGAAGACTAATATTACTTCTTTTATTTAACCTGAACATGTAATTTTCTCATCCATCTGTTGCTTCTCTTTCACCATCTCCTCCCTCTTTCTCTTGTTTCGTTGCTTTTGTCTCCCAGCAACCCCTCTGCTCTGTTGCACATGGTTTCTCTCATTTATTCAACTCCACATTCTTCAGTTCAGCTTACTTTTCCATTCTCTTTCTGCTCTATCCTAGCCCACTTTCCGCTCACTCCCGTCTTATTCTTTGTATAACCCACACCCTTCGCTATAACTCTCTAAGGGATACCAGTATAAGGCCTAGTATTTCCTATGGAACAGAGCTGAATGCGAGTTTAGAGGTAGTCTAGCGTTGCAGGTACGACATAAAGGACTAAATTTAGAGTGGCCTCATGGGCCAGTTGGCCTCTGGGATCAGTGGTGATTTAAAGACTACATAGGAGCCAGTCAATGACAGAGAGACATTGATTTCCAACAAGAAACGGCATTATCTTTATGTTTTGACTTGAAAAAAGCATAATGTCCAATATTCCTGAATTAAATTATAAACCATTAAAAAAGGTATTTTAGTGAATTATGACTAAACAAATGATACAATAAGAATAGTTTTTTCTCAGCTGAAATAATTACTCAGGGCCAGTGTGTACCTGTGCACAGGTGAGACTGTGGAGGGTTCAGGTGTATGGTGCGCAGGTGCTAGCAATTGTTTTTAGCCCATCCTGACACACTAACAGAGTGAATCACAGAAACAGGGATGATGTGGAGAGGAAATCCAGATCTGGGGAGAAAGAAAAACAAACATGTTTTGCTGCTGCTATAATAATGGGTACATGGAAGATCTGAGGGAACATAAGAGCCTGAAACAGCAAGAATAAACAGTGTCTGTTCACCCTTGAGGATTAGTCCAGGTGGTCTGAGCTCAATTATTTGTTGGCCTTGCTTGAGATGACCAGAAGACCAGCTTTTATCTTTGAGTGACTGTGTAAGTACTACTTTTCGCAAAGGCAGTTTGAGCACTAAAGCTAAACAAAATCTGAGATTATTAGCAAAAAACTCTCTCTTCCCTTCACACTCTCTTCCACTGTGACTCCACCCAAATGTCTTCATATCCACAATGAAACTCACCAGCGAAGTGACAAATTGAAATCGAAAATGAAAAAACTAAAAGCACACATATAATATATCAGGCTTATGATTTTTTTCATAAGAACATGACAACAGTTGACAAATAAAAAAAAAATTCATATA